GTGGGCCCACTGCTGATTCTCTAGTGCCTTTGAAGTTTACCATACAGTCCCCCTCAACAAATATGACTGCAAAACTTGGCCAGTCCCATTGCTCTTGAACCAGTTTCCTCGAACTTCCCCTACAGAACATAAATGACAAATCAGCGGTCCCACTGCTGTTTCTTAGGTTCTTTGGCCCCCCTCTAAACAATCCCAACAAGGAAAAGAAGGGATTCAAGCTGTGTTTTTGTGGCCTTTTTGAGGCTCCGTTCAAGAACCCTAAAAATAGGCCTTGACGCAACGTGCTCGATTATTAAGCAGGTTGGGAACCTGCTCGTTTAACAAGCAGGATGGACGATTAGGGTTAGGGTTTTGGCTGTGCAAACCTGTGATCTTGTACCGCATGTTGAGTTGAGCTCATGCGAAGCCACGAGGACCTAAACCGTAAGCCGGAAGCCACCCTGGGTTTCAGGATGTTCTTCATTTGTGAATGTGTGGGTTAAGGTCTGTTGGCCCACTGATTTCACACATGTGCAGGTGATATGCATGCGTGTGTTTTTTGTTCTGTGTTTTGGGCTTCTCGGATACTGTTCCCGGCTGTGAAGGCTTCTTGGATTTGATGAGTGGGGGGTTGGTAATTCCTGGGTTCTGGAATGTAGAATTGGAGGTTTGAGGCTCTGAGGTTCAGGACCTCACAGTGTCCTTCCGTGTGCGGTGTTATGACTATGTCTATGGCTCTATGACCCTAAACCCTAAATCTCGGACACTTATTGCCATGCCTGCAGTTGCGAGTGTGTGAGTCAAAACCCTAAACCGTATGTATTGACTCAGGCGGATGTGTCTCGAGACTACTGTCTACTCCTGTGTCATGTCCTTGGCCTCCTGCTTCCTGTGTATTCTGTCAGGGTTTAGGGTGTAGGGTCAATTATATACTGATATATACTGCATACTACATGATTCGTAATATTCAATAATGTTATTAGATGTGTTATACGGGTATCTATATACATATCTGTCTATCTATCTATCTATCTATCTATCTATCTATCTATCTACTTATACATATGTATCAATGTATTTATTATGCGAACGTCGAAGAATATGTAGCTTCACCGTCTGGAATTCGGCTTCGGCGTGCTTA